CCGCCAACCACTGCTCGCCCACGACGGAAACCCTGTGCTCGGGGCGGAGGGCCGGCTGAGATGGCTCAGTGACATCTCCCGTTTCCGCTGCAGCGTCTCTGAGCGGGAAGTTTAGGGCACCGCGGGTTTTTTACTCAAGCTATATAGCTAGGACGAATTCAGTTGTTGGCTGGAGCAGGCAGCTGCTCTATTTGGACGTTTTCTGTGGTTTCTCGGATCGATACTAGGTAAATGCCGGAGTAGTACTCCGAGAAAAGGGCTACGGACCGCGCGCTGTCTTCCCTTCCTCATCCTTGTCTCCTTCTATCCACTCACATACATACACACACGCACACGGCACTGCCACACATGTTGGGAGGTTTGAATAAGTCCCGGCCGGGGCAGTGACTCGCTGGAGGAGAAACATGGGGAGGGAAGTTTCTCACCAGGTCCCACGTTCCAGCGCGGAAAGAACGCCGCTCCGCCCTACCATATACTATTCACTACACATGACCAAAGTAGCTGCCGCACCCGGAAATACAAAACACTCACTTGGAGCGGGGGTGGGTCCAGCAAGGCTGGTTCGAGGGGGAAATGGTTATAAATTCGATTTTTGGTGGAAACAAAGCAAAATGTACACGTCAACTCGTCGGTATTCAAGTCAAACTCACGAAATCCAAAAACTGTGTTCGAGATTAATCAAGTTTTAAATTTTCTGCTAATAATCTTTTGCTAGCAATATTACACGCACGCATGTAATATTGCTTTTATTAAACAAAAAATATCAGTCCGAAGATGAATGTTTCCTAAGCATTATCACTGTTCGGAGACTTTGTTGGAAAACGAAATAAACGATACACTACTGTAAGGTTTCAAAAATAAATATTGTAATTTTCAAAATAATTTGTCTTAAGCCCTCAGAGCCATGGAAAATGAATTTATGGGAAACCTACTTTATAAAATTAAATAAATTAGGTTTTTAAGTATTAAGAGTTGATAACAATTTTATAATTTGGTATACTTTTTATTATTCATATTCATAAAAAAATGTAAATTTTATAAATAAAGGTCATTGAAACTGACGCAAATGCCGTTTGACCTGAACATGACATTGTCTGCGTCCGTGTTTAGTGAAAGGACTCAAAGGTTAATTTTCTATATTACTTGTCAGTTCCGAAGATTAGTGACTACCATCAAGGTGATCACAATTTCCCAGAAAAGAACGATCATCCAGCCATGCACTTTCCAAAAATGTTATCCCTCATTAACTCTAATAACTAAACATATTTTCGGAATGTGAGAGTCATGGCAATCATTCCACAACTCAAAGTGAATGTATGTAAAAGCGTACGAATCTTTTTTTAAGATATAGATGGCAGAATGTTCAGTCTCTGATGGTTCGAGTCATTTCCTTAAATATGCAACTATATGCTGATCTGACTGTACTTCGGGTTTTGTCACATAACTCCTCGTTGGTGGGTGATTTGTTTGACGAAAGTTTGTGTATTTGGCAGAAGGGCAGAACTTCACAATTTTTTTCAACTTTTGAATTTTTTTCAACTTCCATTTTTTTACGATTTTATCCTGAAGTAAACTTATTAGGTGTTGATTCGTAATAAATAATTTTTGGAAATTTTTATCTTTTACAGACATCAACACTTTTGTTGGTGGAAATCAAACTTCAAATAAACACATAACCAATTAAATTTGGTAAATTCTGACTCGATGTTTAGACTGCAACCCTCCCAGCTCTAGGACCATGAATGGAAATAGAATTTAGTTTGTGTTTGACTAAGTCAGTTCAGGATATTTTTCTTGATTTTCTTGGCTTCCTTTCTTCAGTTCTTCTTTAAAGCATCGTTGAGCATTAACATTCACCAAATCATTTGTAAATTATTCATTCGTTCAGGATGGTACGTCAGGCCTTGATAGGCCAGCAGCCTTGCATCCTTAATTAATCTTAGACAGCACTTTCACCCCCACAATGGGAATAAAGTGAAAGAAAGAAATACTTATATAACTCCCAAAATGGGAATAAAGTGAAAAACTATTATATCCAACCCCAAACAAGTATTTAGTGCACAGGGGCAATTTCTTTAGAATTACAATGTTTAATGTGCATCTTCAATATTTACGCTGCGTGGAAAGCAGCAAGTGTACTCATGTGAGGCTGTGTTGGAAAGGCCCCTTATGCAGAAATTCGCCATCCTACGCCCTTCCAGAAACTCACAGGCAGGCCCCTTGTAATATGCGATTGCTGATATCTGAGAAGGCAGGCCCCGAGCAATTGAACTCATAAGAATGTTTCTCTCAATTTAAGCGCTTGCAGCAAGTATTACCGGCTGTGACAAGGTCGAATCACATGGTTTTTCGGGGATCTGTCTCGTGTAGCATTTCTCTCTTGCGAGAACAAGAGAAAACATGCGGCATCTGATCACCTTTTTCACAGCTCATCGCTTTCTTTTTTATGTATTTTTGTGTTGGTCCTTTTTTGGAGTGACTTCCTTTGCGTTTTTATCAAATTTTCACGGCCGCCTCACTGCGGGGCCGGGCTTGCTCTGGGCTTGCTTACAGAGAGAGCGAGTTTTAGCAAGCAACGCGATAACTTGTGGTTTGCACCCCGCGATGGCTGTTTTATAAGTACATAAATGTTATTTTTAATTTTTTTACGTTATGTTTCGAAAATTAAAATAAATGTTACGGCAACAAAACACTTTAGGAATGTAGTACATCCTATTAAGTGAATAATTCAGTGAATCCAGCTACCGTGTGGAAATCGCCCCCGATTGTGATTCCAATGTAAATCATTCATATATCGCCATGGGTCTAAAATAATGACATATTGGAGACGAAGGAACTAATCTGACTGTTACATTGTTGCTGTGGAGTTTTGTTGAGAGCACTTTACCATTTGAACACAACGCTAACATGTTTTGCAGTCGCTACGTTAATTTGACTACCTGTTAGAGTTCCATATTGTTTCTTGTTCCTTCCAAATGGATTGCGTAAACACCCTCAAATGACGAAACGCATGAGAAATTCTGAAAGGCTAACGTTCAATGGTATTGCCTATAAAGTCCGGTTTGTTTCTTTTTTAAGAATACATAGATATTCGTAAGAGAGGTTGAAGGAGATTCCGAAGAACGCATCGAAAACTTAAACGTGTTAGTTCATGTAAAAATAATGCAACTTTTTCTGCACTTACCTATGTAAACAGAGTGTATCATTTTACCTGCTCACGGAAAGTGTAAAGAAAGTGTACAATGAATTAAAACATGCTTTCAAATAAAAAATTTATTCCAATTTTAAATATAAAAATTGGAATGAATCGACTGTCAATAAAAATGTAATAATTATAAATTGGTATATTTTCATAAAATTTTTAGCATATTTGACATTTTGTTCAATAATTGATGAGACCCCTTGGAACCTGAGGCCTTAAACTGCAGCTTAGATTAACGATAAATCCGCCACTGTGTATCGGAGGAAGGCAGCGCCGGACAAACGCGAGCTCAAACCGCAGAGCAGACTGAGCACAAACGAGATACGAGACGGAAATATTCTGGAACTCAAGAAAACGTGCCCAGTTAATCTTCTCCCCCGTACGTCACATAGTCGCATAGAGTATTTTACTGTTTTTTTTTTACTAAATAAATCTAAATGTAAGTATGAAGGGCGTGAAATAACAAAACTCTAAGTTTAATACTGCCACCTTCATTGCTAACACACCTTAATTCCGTAAAAAGGACGTTATCAAACGTTGCAAGCAGTAGCTCCCTTGGCTACGCTGTTGTCAGAGCTCAGATTCGAAATGCCTCCGCGCTTGAGACAAGAAAGCAGGACACGCAACGCAAAGCATGGTGGAAATATATCCACCATGAGTGTCACAGGTACCCACTGGTAAAATAAGAAGTTGCTTGTAAGGGTCATCCATGAGAGGTCTCGTGTTGCAAAAAAAAATCATAAAATTTTCAATTCTATAAGCAATTTATTAATTTTCATTTGTTTTATTTATACAAAACAGTGATCAATTATAACTAGATTTTTAATATAGTACTAGGAGGATCTTTTCACCGGAGGGGGTTTCCAAAACCATTTTGTCTTGGGGATCTCGCAGAATCTAAATCCTGCCTTGCGATCACAGGTGTAGCGGAGGTCAACCCTGCGTCAAGGTACACCACTAGAAAATGAATAGTTTCGTTATCGCGGCAACAACACTGGTAGCAGCGCGACATGCCTCCCGCCTTGACGCAGTTCACTGGCATGCTATAGCCTGCACATTAATCGTGTTTTCGTCATTATCAAGTTGTTACTGCCCTATGAAGGAGAGTCAATGTTGCCCTATGTATGTTGTATACAATGACACCTTGTGTGTGCGAGTGAAATGACCCATTCTGTTTTCAACTATTGAAGAGATTTTTTTAGAACCTGCTGTCGATACCATTATCCTCTGGAAAGAATTAACACAATCGTACATTCCTGCATTTGTAGATAATTTCAGTAAGAATGTGATTTTCAAAACGAGCCATTAAATGGCCGGGACTGATTTGTGCAAAAGATAATTGAAACCCCACGCAACGGTCACTGGAGATCCATCATTATTATTTAGTCTCTTTCTCTTTGTTCCGTTTGCTGAATTCAGACGAGAGCCACACAGAAGGTCCCGGCGCGCCCTCCAAGGACGAAGGTGAGTGGAAAAAGAACCTCACCACCCGGGCATTGCTTCGAGACACATTGTCCCAGCTGAAGGTCGTTCGACGCACCTCTTCACAAAGTAAATGAGAGAGACAGACTGCTACCTGCTGTTGCTGCTGATGCTATTATTGCTATTGTTGGGCTTTTGCTACGCGGCTTTGAGCTGTTTTGTTTGGTTGTTTTGATGGACATCGTTTCAAATAGCTTGAAAGATATTGTTGCTATTGCTACAATCAACTTTGATGAAACGTTACTAGCAGCAACAATAGGAAGTTTGGTGGGATACATTTCAATACAACACGGTACACAATCCAGAAAGGCATTATAAATACTTGCCAAAATGTTTTAATTAAAGATTTCTAAATTATCAAAAAAATAATAATAAGTCAAAACTAGGATGACATTTAAAAGTGTGTTTTGTTTATGATTAACTTTTGCTAACAGATTTTGAAGAGTTAATTAGTTATTGAAATGGAATTAATTAGTACCAATACTTTAATTAATTTGTAATATGTTAGGTATGGTACAAGTAAATTTGAAAAGAGAGATTTGTCAACAATTTTATATCACTATTTCATTGAAATATAGCTCAGATTTTATTTTATTCAATAATTTCACCGTGGTTAGATATAAGTGCCAAATTCACAATATTGCTGTCTAGTTTGAAATAGTACGTGCATACTTTTGTACGTATTATTGATGTCATTAAAGTAATATGATGAATTACCATTGATGCTTTCAAAAACAAGATATAGATGGAATATTATCATGTATTTATAAAGAGTTTGTTTTGTTTACAAGAGATTTGGAGAAGAGACTATGTGTTAGGCTTTGGCAATGTGACAAAGAAAAATTTTATACATTTAATTCAATGAATTTTAATAAATCTTATTTTTATATATTTTAATGTATTTAGAAATGGAAAATTCACTTTTTGTTCCAATTTTCTTTTACTTTCTGTCAATCCAAAAAATATATACTGTGTTTATGAAGTTCTTTCATATCAAAATAATCTTGCAGAGATAGTATAAATTAAGTAGTATTAAGAATGGCGGTAAAAATGATACTTTTAGGGGACTATGCAAATTATGGGATTTTTTCTTCTATTTGGTTTTTAAAATCATTAATTATTTTTATATTAATGAGTTTTTTGAAACATTGTATAGAATGTTAGTCAAGCTATTTGAAACTTCTTGGTTTTGTTTGACTGATGCGCTGTCCACAATTTTTTTTAAATTTAATTTTGTGTCAATTAAACTATTTACTTCCAGATTTGCTTCAGAATAAATAATAATAATTTTGTTGTGGTTATGTGATTAGGTTTTAAAACATGGCAGAAAATCAACTGGCCTGTGGATGGCATGTGCTCAGATGCAATATATATTGTTCTATGTCCATGTTCATTTACTCTAATGCCATGGTTGCAGCGCTAAGCTGTCCAAGTGTGTGAGCATACAGTGTTCTTTAACAATTTTGTGGCCATCTAACATGGGAACATGCTTTGTGTCGGGTAGGTGGTATATCCTGTTGAATTTTGTTCCCTAAGACTGATATAATTTCTGCTTTAATTAGAGTCCCCATTTTGTTGATTTTCTTTCTCTACCAATACAAAACATTTCAATTGTTATTACATGTCCATACAAATTCCACAGATATTGAATATTCAAATTTCTTTAATGGAATGATTGTTATAAGTTGGTAACCTGAATTCTCTCAGAAATAATTGTTAATGACCAAATTATGATTCCTTCTGCACATAAGTGGTTGTAGTTTCATATTTAAATATTCTTGCTTCGCACTGCTTCTGAAAATCTTTGGTTGTGGGTATGTAGTGGAGTTTTGCATTCATTAACCAATTAAAATGGGTATGTGGTGATTTGAATTGTGTGATGTGTGGTAAATAATGTGGCAATGACGTTTGACTGACTGACTAACCGACTAAGAAATGGGTATATTCCTTTGATTTGCATAAATTAAGAATAAAATATTTATTTTATATTTGATGAATGTTATTTCAATTGTTCCTTTGTGTAAAATGTGCATTATATAAATTAGTGTGTTAGTATGTCTGTGGATTTGTTCATTTATCTGATGTATACTTGAGCTAAACCTTCTTTCTTTTAGGGCCTCTTCTATTGCAATTTATATTGAAATGGAAACTCAAATAATTATGAGTCTAATGACAATCTCATGCCCTTTATTTAATTTTTAATAATTCTTTTATACTTCCCACAAGAATTGCTTCAAGAAGAACAAGTCTTCCTTCCTTCCTTCTCTCTCCTATCTAGAATATTGACTTTTAAAAGAGGGGAGAATTCCATTTTTCCTTTATGTTTTATGCATCTGTATATTCTTCTAAATTCAGAACTTTTAAAATTTATTCATAGTTTTAAATGGTTGTGAGAGTCATTGCATTCTTTGAAGGTATTAATTTAATGAACAGTTCAAATTTCTAATTTTTTTATTTTCTCAGTTACAGCAATTACTATTTGTATTGTAATTTCTGAGTTTGACCAATAGAATATATTTCTTTCTTTTGATATATAGACCTATTACATTTTCATATTATTGTTTACATCATTTCTATTTTCCACATTTCAATCCATAATATAAAAATACAAAATACCATACTTTTACTATTTTATTAATGTTTTTTCATTCATTACATTTATTACACCATTCATTTTCTTTTTTTAGTATATGAACATTCATAATGTGAGTGTTATTGCAGTTAATAGATTTAAATAGGTATTTTGAGGTTCCATTAAATAATGAGAACTAGTTCAGTTTGTTAAGTACAATTTAACTTGTATTTGTAAATGAAAGTTCAGTCTTTCTTAAGAAATTATGTTCATTAGCAACTAAGTAATTAATTTTTTGAATTCAGTTTAACTGTGTTTCTCTTCATAACGCAATAATATTAGCTATGAATTGAAGAAGAGCATGATTATAATATTTTTCATACATTTTTCATGATATTTATTAATTAAAGTATGGATAAAATACAATAAACATTCACTTTAAATAAATGATGAAGTAACTGTGAATACTTTTAAAATTCTCTTTACTTAATGAACAACTATGATTTGAAATGCAACAACTTCTTACTAATTAAATAAGATTTTCATGTTAATCTAGTGCAATGATACTCACAATCTATAGGCAAGATCATTCTGTGAAAATTATTGTGCGGTTTGCATGTTTAAATAACTTATGTCCTTCCATCTTACTTCCCCTGCTCTTTGGATGCCTTGTAATGAAACCAGCTTACTGTGGCCCTGTCCTGCAAACAGTTACAGTTGCTTGTCTTATTTCCCAGTACTGCAGGGCAGCATGTCTACCAGACCAGGGTTAGGGGATGACTCCCACGACACAAAGGAAGAGCCTGAGGGTGAGTGAGCCACTGAAGGACTGACATATGCAACAGGAATATCGATTTTTATTTATTGGGCATGTGGTATCCTTCTTAGTTACAGAAAATAACGAAATAAACTGGTTGATTTGTTATGGTGCTATTATTGAACTAATAACTCAAGAGGAAACAGATGCTTTTGTTATTTAAGTGTTACTAACTCACTTTCAATGCATGAGGCTTTGCTTAGTCTTCATCAACTTTCCTGTTTTAAGGGCACATAGCTATTATAAATACTGTTACACCCACTACATATGCTACATTTGAGTCTTTTTCTCTCATTTGCAATACATTATAAAAATATTTCACCTCTATGAATGTTATTTATATTTCCTTTCACCACTCATCAATTTTAATTCTGGTTATGTGAAAGAGGTGATTAATTTTTTCAGATGTTCCTCTGAACAGAAAGTAAAGAAGTGAAATTATTTTGTTTTAATAATCTGACCTCTTCTAAAAAGTAAGTAATGAATCATGTGAGTTGCATTAAAATGTACATATTTAAGAAATTGATATGATGTTATTACTCCTTTTATTTTTAGAAATGGCACTAAAAAAAGCATTAGTTGTGCCTTTGAAGCTAATGGAGAAAATAAGCATGGATTACAATATTTTCATGGATGTTTCTGCATTTTCACAAGCATGAACATAGAGCATATTAATCAATGGGCTTCTAATTGTTCTTTATTATTGTCATCTTATATTTTTATTGTACCAAGGAAATGATGGATTCGGGACCATTATTGAAGGAATGCAAGTGGTCTTTTAACATCCATAGATCGTAGAAATTTGTTTACCTTCCTTTGTCTTGTTACTATTTAATCTTCTAATAAAGCATGGTGTGAGATGCATCCTACTTTTTTAACATCTGCATGTAATTAAATTATAAAAAAAAGAAGAAAAATGTCTGTCAGATTTATTAATCTTGCAATCAATCTTTCATTTGAATATTTTGATTTCCTATTTCTTATCAATGTAATTTGAAGAAATTACTCAAAATATTTGCATTATGAAGTTTTCTTTTAATTAATGCAAATGTCATTCTTGATAGGCTATACTTCATTTGTCTTCTCTAAGTGTAATTGTATTTATGAACTTGCAACATTTTCACTCTGTCTTACACTGTAATGTTGTTTCACAAATTAGACAAACAAAACAAATAGGTCATATGCAAAGGAGAAACACATATGTGGACACTATTGTGACATCATACTTTGAACATTCTATGTGAAGTAATTTTACCTTCATGTAACATTCTTTAATGTATTACCAGAACTGAGCTCAAATCCAAGTCCATTATAAATCCCTTTGTGAATATTTTTAATAAATTGAAATCTAATACACATGTTCTTTTCCTCAATAGCAAATGATTGCCTTTCTGATCGAAAGACTGCTTTGGAGGAGCAAATTTCTGGTACTAGTGGCTTGTACATTCCAGAATGTACTCCAGATGGGCGTTATAAAAAGATACAATGCTATACTTCCACTGGTAAGTTGTTTAAAAATATATTAAAATTGTTTATTAAGAGCATTTTTTTTATTATTCATCTTTAGATTACTATTCCCTTTTATTTGGAAATGTCTGGCCAGATGTTATTTAAAATCTTCAGCTACAATAGAATTCATGTTTTTCTCTATATCATCAAAAAGTATAATATGAATACATTTAATGAAAATTTTTTAAAAAGTAATATAATATAAAATATGAATTTACATGAAAGAATATTAGCAACAGAAAAAGTGAGGCAGAAATTTTAATAATTCATGACCAAAACTGTAAATAAAAAGTAATTTCTAATTATTATTGCATCTTTTAATATATTAAAATGGCATTGTACAATTTCTCTTGATAACTATGAGTGTTAAAATACAAGTAATATTTCTGGTTTGTATGATTTATTTTCCAGGATATTGTTGGTGTGTTTATGAAGATACAGGAATTGTTATTCCTGGATCATCAGTGAAAGATCAAAAACCCAATTGTGATATAGTGCCTCCTCCATCAAGACCAATGGCTGGTTAGTTCAAACATGTCTTTATAAATTTGAAAGTTCTCTCCATGAATTGATTTTTTTTTGAGATCTTGTTTGCAAGTTGTAAATGCAGCATGAATTTTTTGACCGCATTTTGATAAATGTTATTTATATTTGCTTGTATTTGATCTCCTTGCATGAGTAATGAGCATTATTCATAATTTGGTGAAGATTATGTAATTATCAAGTTGGTAATTATTTCCATGAAATATTTTATGTGTGGTACATGCAGGTTGTCCAGAACCTCGTAAGCAAGCCTTCCTGAAAGACTTCTTGGAATTCATGAAGAAAAAAATGGCTTCAACAAAAGACAAATCTGTTACTGAAAGGTCTGCAAAATTAGAAAACTGTTTTAATAGACTATCATTATTTTTATCATTATCATTATTATTTTCATTATTATTTAATTTTTTAAAATCTAGGTCATTACTAAAGTTTTTCTTTTACATCTTCCAAACTTTTGCAGTTATTAACTGAGCCTCTTTTATTATGCCTGTTACTTTAGTATGGCTTAAAGAATAACATTTCTCTGATGCATTTAGACATTGAAGTTGATTGATTCTATATAAATAGGACTTCAACAAATATTTGGTAAGCGTATATCTGTGTATGTGTGTGTGTGTGTGTGTGTACATATATTTAAATTATTTCTTTTCAGTACTTTCTTGAATTTGAATGGAGGATCAGAAGAAACTGTAGCAACGTGGGCATTCCAAACTTTGGACAAGAATAAAAACAAGGTAATTGTTCACATTCTTTCACAATAATTCTTCAGTTCACTTTCTTGGATAAAAAGCAAGTCCAATTATTGTATCAGCCTGAAAAATAGCTGATGTATTTAAAAGATACTTTCCATTGTTCTAGATCTGGGAGAGAAAGGAATGGAAAAGTTTTCGCACTTTGGTTATGTCTCAACCTCAGTTAAGGCGCTGTGGGAAAAGATTGCCACGATATTGTGATGTAAATAACGATCAGAAAATAAGCCTAACAGAATGGCTGAACTGCATGAAGAATCAACGAAACAGTTCAGGTAATGTGCATATTGTGGATGGATTGTCAGTAATAACTTTTTTGGAATTTATCTCTGATATTTTGATTTATAGCTCTAAGTATGAAACCTTCAAATGGTTCAAATCGCAATGGCACCAACCCTCTTATGATATATCTGAAGGCAAGTTGAAATGACAGAAGAAATGGAAATAAAATTTCAATATTCCAAAATCTTGTATATAAGTGAGGTTCATAAACTATAATGAATGCGTCAAGTATTAAAGTGTTCAGTTGAGACTGAATACATGAGAAGCTTTTAATGGATGGGTATAGTTGTGATACAAAATAAATTAAAACTTTGAGAAATGTGTCCTAGTTATAAAATAGGTACTGTCTTGTAAATCTTGGTATCAAGTTCTGTTTATTTGTGTGATCTGGAAAAAGAGCTTGGTTGCTCCAAGTACTTCCTGCATGATAACAGACACAGTAAATGTATTAGTGATGAGCATGTACAGAGCAATTTTATAGCCCAATATACATGAAATCCATGTATATTAGTATGAATGTTAACAATGAACAAATCATTGTACATCTGGTTCTTTGGACATATCTTTGTATATATGTGTACATATTTTTAAATAACATATTTAATAGCACTTTTTAAGTATTTTTAATGTTGTTACTTCATTTGTGAGACAACAGTAAATATATTTGGAAAAAAATATTCATATTACGTCTCCGAAAATATAATGTTAGGAAAGACTGTGATGATGAATGAAGTGAGATTAGGCAGAAGAAGAATTACTATGTGTTAAACATTAGATGAAAAAATATTTAAAAAAAAAGTGAGCATGAAAAACATGTTATGTTAACATTTTGCAAATACTGTTTTTGATTCAATTGCATATCATGAGAATTTGTAGATGAAAATTTATAATTTTAAAAAATTAATATGATTCCTCACATTTGATCACTTACAAAAAACAAAACAGGTGTTATATATTTTAAAGTTAATATCTTTTTCACAATTGACCAGATAACAGTAGAAAAAAATACTTCTTTGACAAAAATGCATTTTCTAGCAGATACTCCCTACTTTGATGTAATTCTGAAAAAATGCAATCAGTATATTCCATATAAAAATTTATTTCATCATTATTGTAAGTACTAGTTTACATTTGTTGAATGCCTAAAGATGATTCAAAATATTTTCTTTTGTATGTAAGAAAATCTGTGTTTTATTGTAGCCAGTTTTGTAGAAGAATTGAGAATAATAAATTAATGATTTCTTGTTTTTCTCATATGTAGTAATTGCTTGTACAGTTTTGGTGAAGGATTCAACATATGTAGATTTTTAATTTTATAAATAACTTATATGACTAAATTTAAACTAAAATTAATTTTTTTACAGTATATAGTATTTATAAGGTTTTAATTACTAATACAAGACAAAAAAACAATATTTTAAGAAAATTCAAATTCAATAAATTTATTTGTGATTATAGTAATAATGATTGATGAGTTGTATTCTGACTAGACAATAAGATAAGATAACATGTGAAGGAGCTAGCAGCTCTCCCATCGTGCTCTTTGAGCACAGTGGTTAAAACCATGGTCATTCCATGTGAAATTTAAAGTGAACAAAAAAGGATAAAGGGATGTTTTGCTGATTCTTTATATTTCAGTGTTCTTTGTTACACCTTTTGATTCATATCTACACAAATTATGTATTAGAATATTTGATATTATCTCTAAGTTCTATCAGCAATTTCTTAAAATGAGCTGTTCAAGTCTTCACAAGAACGAGAGATTGAAGGTACGATTGCAGAACAAATGTTTTTCTGCTGACTGTGTATGCAACCATGCCATACTATCAGCAGGAAAAATGAAAATTAATGAATGGGAAAAAATCTCAGAAATTTAAACATTAATTTTTTGAAAAGAGAATGTAAAAGTTGCATTTCCAAAATGTGGTTTATGATAAGTTACTTGACGTATGAGAATTTTTTTATTACTAACACACACACAAATAGAATTGGTAAGTGATGTTTAGTACTTACCTATGTAAATATAAAAGGGTTATTAAGTTAACAGAGGTACCATGAGTATTTTGCCTGTATTGAATATTTAAATTATAAGCCATCTGTAACATGTGAAAAATGTTTGTTTGTTATTATTGTTTTTTTTGGTTAAAGTAGCATATGTTCAGATTATTAATAGTGTAGATATATAGATCACAAACAATAATAATTCTTAATAAATAAGTATTCCTATTTCACCATCATCACCATCATCACCATCATCACCATCATCATCATCATCATCATCATTATCATCATCATCATCATCATCATCATCATCATCATCATCATCATCATCATAAAGACGGTTCTGCAGGATGAAGACCCAAGGGCTATTCCTGATTCAGCAGAAGATCTGAAAAGTATATTAATTTTTCAGGTGTTCCAACATAGTAATTTTTTTCTAGCTAACTATATCATAGAAATTAATGTGTGGTACTACTATATGTGCAGTATAACTTTTCATTAGAATTAGTTTTCTTGTTTTATCACAAGGTCTATACTATTATAACAAATAATGCAAAGCATTTTATATTTTATACTTTTTGTCTCATAACAGTTTTGTGCCTTATCAAAACCCGTTGATCATATATTGTAAATACAATGTGAATATTTTTCTACTCATATTTGTTTCAGTTACCTTCAATGTGGATTGTTCAGTTATTGTTTGTACCATGTGTTTGGCTACAAAACCATGCAAAAAAAATAATATCCAAAAGACAGGAAAGGCCATAATTACCAGTAGAGCAACTGGTAGAGACATGTACTCCTTGAGATAGCTTGCCCCCCCCCGTCCAAAATGAGGAGATATTTCTATGTTATTTGGAAATTTTATTTTAAAAAATTGAAAAAATTAAAATTTGCTCTCAATATATTGAGATTCAACAGATATAGAAAATCTATGTATTAACACGTGAAATAATTTCCCCCCCTCTTATTACGCATATTGAATGCAAGGATGAGAGTGAAATTTGGCATGGTGTTGTTCTAGGTTTGTATGGAGGAGTGCAGAAAGCAAAAAGTCATATACACGGTGTTTCTAATTTATTAAATTAAATAAAATAATATGATGTGGAGATGAAACCCGCTGCATTACATTAGTATTACACACAACTCAAAAACAATGTATTTTGGCACTTAACAGAAGTAAAGGAAAACCAGTCTACTTTTAATATTTCACACTCTTGCATCCTTTTCCTTCTTTGTCAATTAAAAAAGTAGTTGTCAAAAAATCTTTCATTGTCCATATATTAGAGAAACACCACATTTAATGACATATTTATAAGTATCATCAGATGTAAGCAAAAAATTACTACATTCATGTCTGAAAATCAAAAACAAATTAAGATAATATTGTTTAAAATGAAAGTATAAAAAAAATAAAATTATACAGTATTCAGATATGAACAAAATAAATGAAAACTAAAAAAAACAAATGAAGTAAGTATAACGTAGATAAGATAGTACATACCAAACATGTTCATGTTAGAAAAAAAAAAAGAAAAAAAAAATTAAAAAAAGGAAACTCCATCACTTAAGGCTCTGCTATGTTTTTCGTCGTCTCCAAAAGTATTACTCTAATAAAATTCTCGTTTGCACCATTCAATTTCTTGTAAAGTGTTCTCCCTGTACACAGAATTTAAGAAGGAAGTGCCAAAATTAAAACTTTTCCAAATTTGTCAGGGAATGTAGGGTATTTTGTACTCTATTACTCAGTTTCTATATTCTTGTCCGTCTATCTAAGACACTATGAATCAGACTGGTGTCTAGATTACACCATTGAATTTCTCGTAAAGTGTTCCACACATAGACGGAATTTGAAAGGGATAGGGCAAAAATATTTTTCTTTTTATTTTGAACGTAATGGGGAAGGGTAATTTGTACTCAAACTCCTGTGGTTCTATCTTCTTTTCCGTCAATCTTTTAAATTATAAGTCTGCTTGGAATCTAATTTGCATCAATCAATTTCTTTTAATGTGTTTTACTTGTATACAGAATTAGAGATAGCAGTGCTGAAATTAATAATTTTCCAAATTTCGCACATAAGGGGGGGGGGTCATTCTGTACTTTGAACAATTGAGGTTCCTTTTGTTTCTCGTCTATCTCGGAAACTCTTCGTCTGATTGGAGTTTGATTTGCACCAATCAATTTCTTTTAATGTGTTTTATTGTATACAGAATTAGAGATAGCAGTGCTGAAATTAATCTTTTTCGAAATTTGGCAAGTAAGAGGGGGTCGTTTTGTACCTTGCACAACTGAGGTTTCTTTTGTTTTTCGTCTATCTCGGAAAGTAATTGTCTGATTGGAGTTTGCTTTGCAACAATATATTTCCTTTAATGTGTTTTACTTGTATACAGAATTAGAGATAGCAGTGACTGAAATTAAATCTATTTTTCGAAATTTAGCCCACGAAAGGGGGGTGTTCTTTTTTGTACTTTGCCCAATTGAGGTTCCTTTTGTTTTTCGTCTATCTCGGAAACTATTCGTCTGATTGGAGTTTACTTTTGCACCAATCAATTCTTTTAATGTGTTTTACTGGTATACAAAATTAGAGAGTTAGCAGTGCCTGAAATTAAATATTTTTGAAATTTTGGAACGGGAAAGGGGGGGGTCGTTTTGTACTTTGGCCCAATTGATGTCCTTCTTGTTTTTCGTCTATCTCGGAACCTATTGTCTGATTGGAGTTTACTTTGCACCAATCAATTTCTTTAAAGTGTTTTACATGGTATACAAAAATTAGAATTTTGCAATGCTGAAAATTAATATTGTTTCGAAATTTGGCACGTAAGGGGGGGTCGTTTTGTACTTTCCCAATTATGTTCCTTCTTGTTTTTCGTCTATCTCGGAAACTATTGGTCTGATTGGAGTTTACTTTGCACCAATTCAATTTCTTTAATTGTTGTTTTACATGTATACAAAATTAAGAATTTGCAATGCTGAAATTAATATATTTCAAAATTTGCGCACGTAAGGGAGGGAGTCGTTTTGTACTTTGCCCAATTGAGTTCGTTTTTGTTTTTCGTCTTCTCTCGCAAAAACTTATTCGTCTGATTGGAGTTTACTTTGCACCAATTTAATTTCCTTTAATGTGTTTTTAACTTGTTATACCAAAATTAGTTAGCAGTGCTGAAATTAATATTTTTGAAATGTGGCACGTAATGGGGGGGGGGGTCGTTTTTGAACTTTGCCAATTGATGTTCCTTTTTGTTTTTCGTCTATCTCGGAATTATTCGTCTGATTGGAGATTTTACTGTGCGCCCAATCAATTCCTTTAATGTGTTTTACTTTGTATTACAAAAATTAGAGTTAGCTGTGCTGGAAATCAATATTTTTCGAAATTTTGGCACGTAAAGGGGGGTCGCTTTTGTACTTTGCCAATGGAGGTTCTTTTTTGTTTTTCGGTCTATCTCGGAAACTATTTCGTCTGATTGGAGTTTACTTTGCACCAATCAATTTTCTTTTTAATGTGTTTTATTGTATACCAAAATAAGAGTTAGCAGTGCCTGAAATTAATATTTTTCGAAATTTGGCACGTAAGGAGGGTCGTTTAATACTTTGCCCAAGTTGAGGTTCCTTTTTGTTTTTCGCTATTCGGCAAACTCATTCGTCTGATTGACGTTAATTTGCACTACAATTTCTTTTAATTGTTTTACTTGTTATACAAAATTAGAGTTAAGCAGTGCTGAAATTAATATTTTTGAAATTTGGCACGATAGGGGGGGGAGCCTTTTGCTACTTGCCCAATGAGGGTCCTTTTTGCTTTTCGCTATCTCGCAAACTATTCGTCTGATTGGAGGGTTTACTTTGCGCCAATCAATTTCCTTTAATGTGTTTCACTGTATACAAACATTATGTTAGCAGCTGCTGAAAATCAAATATTTTTCCGAAATTTGGCACGTAAGGGTGGGGTTTCTCGTTTTGTACTTTGCCCATTGAGTTTCCTTTTTGTTTTTCGTCTATCTCGCAAACTATTCGTTCTTGATTTTGGAGTTTACTTTTCACCAATCAATTTCCTTTAATGTGTTTTACTTGTATACAAAATTAGTTAGCAGTGCTGAAATTAATTATGTTTTCGAAAATTTGGCACGTAAGGGGGAGGGTCGTTTTTCTACTTTGCCCAATTCAGGTTCCTTTTTGTTTTTCGTCTGTCTCGGAAAAATATTTCGTTTGATTGGAGTTTACTTTGCACCAATCAATTTTGCTTTTTAAAAGTGATTTACTTGTATACAAAATTAGACGTTAGCAGTGCCTTAAATTAATTATTTTTCGAAATTTGGCACGTAGGTGGTGCCGTCGTTTTGCTAAAAATGCCCTATTGAGGTTCCTTTTTGGTTTTTCGTCTATTGTCGGAAAACTATTGGTCTTGATTTTGGAGTTTACTTTTGCACCAATCAATTCCTTTTAATTTGTTTTATATGTATAATAAATTAGAGTTAAGCAATGCTGAAATTAATTAAATTTATCGAAATTTGGCACCTAAGGGGAGTAGGGCGGCTCGTTTGTACTGTGCCAATTGAGTTCCTTTTTTTGTTTTTCGTCTCATTCTCCGCCAAACTATTCGTCTGATTGCGAGTTTTACTTTGCCACCAATCAATTTCCTTAAATGTGTTTTTACTTTTATACAAAATTAGTTAGCAGTGCTGCAAATTAATATTTTTTCGAAAATTTGGCACGTAAGGGGGAGTCGTTTTGTCTTTGGCCCAAGTGAGGTTCCTTTTTGTTTTTCGTCTATATCGAAAACTATTTGTTTGATTGGAGTTTAATTTGCACCAATCAATTTCTTTTAATGGTTTTACTGTGTATACAAGTTTAGAGTTTAGGCAGTGCTTGAAATTAATATTTTATCGAAATGGCAGACTAGGGGGGGTCGTTTCTGTTACTTTGCCCACATTGAGTTTCCTTTTTGTTTTCCGTCTATCCGGAAAACTATTCGTCTGATTGGAGTTTACTTTGCACCAATCAATTTCTTTTAAGTGTTTTACTTGTATACAAAATTAGAGTTAGCCAGTGCTGAAAATTAATTATTTTTCGAAATTTGGCACGTAAGGGGGAGCGTTTTGTACCTTGCCCAATGTTTGAGGTTCTTTTTTTTTCCCGTCTATCCGGAAACTATTCGTCTGATTGGAGTTTACTTTTGCCACCAATCAATTTCTTTTAATGTGTTTTACTTGTATACCAAAATTAGAGTTAGCCAGTGCTTGAAATAATTATTTTTCGAAATTTTGCGCACGTTTAAGGGGGGGTCGTTTTGTACTTTGCCAATTGAGGTTCCTTTTTTTTCCCGTCTATCTCGAAAACTATTTTCCTCTGATTGGAGTTTACTTTTGCACCATCTTCATTTTAATGTGTTTTACTTGTATTACAAAATTAGAGATTAGCAGTGCTTGAAATAATTATTTTTCCGAAATTTGGCACGCGTAAGGGGGGTTACGTTTTTGTACTTTGCCCCAATTGAGCGTTCCTTTGTTTGTTTTTCGTTATCTCGCAAACTATTCGGTCTGATTGGAGTTTACTTTTCACAATCAATTTCCTTTAATGTGTTTTACCTGTGTATACAAAATTAGTTTAGCACGTGCTTGAAATTAATATATTTTTTCGAAATTTGGCACGTAAGGGAGGGGTTCGTTTTCTACTTTGCCCAATTCAGGCTTCCCTTTTTGTTTTGCGTCTGCTCTCGGAAAATATTCGTTTGATTTGGAGCTTTATTTGCCACCAATTCATTTCTTTTTTAATGTGATTTACTTTGTATACAAAATAGAGTTAGCCAGTGCTGAAATAATATTTTTCAAATT